TAATTAATGAGGTATTTCAGTTAGCTGTCTTTTGCAATTTACATACAGGCAATGTTTTGAAAATGAATTAAGTATTCAACTTGGCTAAGTATAATGACGTCATAATTGAAAAGAAAAAGATATTCCGCATTTTTAATTAAGCGTGTTAACAAATCGGGTTAACACGGGGTGTTACAGAACTTCACTGCTCACAGTTGGAATCTCATTTCCAACATTTTGCTCGATTTCTCAATTCACATATAACATTAAGTACAAACAAATAGGCTTCCATACAATTAAGTACTTCAGTTGCTAACCTTATCAACTAGCTTAGGACAAAGTTGCCTATGCCTCTTTATAAGATAACTAACTTCACATCTTCTTGAACTTTACCTTCCTTTAGCATCTTGTGTACATTCCGTGCTAGCATTATTTTTCTACCTTCTTTTTTAATGTGTTGTTGCTGGAAATATTCTTGTGAATAGTAGTGAAGTCTCATCAGTCAGAAATAAACCAAGTGAGAAGCATATAAGTACATAAAGATCCATCGACTTATAGCTCTAAGATTTTGAATTAAAATATGGTGTCAATTCACTTATTGTGATTTATCATTTGACTTATTGGTGAAAATATTTTTTGCAAAGGATCTTGAGACGAGATTTACATACAAGTTACCCTTAGGGGAAACATATGATGTGGTGTCAATCCACTAATTTATCATTTGGGTCATTCGTGAATATGTCAACACAGCTAGGTCAACAGTCTCAAACTTTGAGCAGCTACATGAACTTGTATTGTCACAAGGATTATGCAAGCCAATATTGAAATCCCCATTGAATTTAAGTTCGATATTTTTAAAAGCAGCTGTATATAAATTGTATTTATTTATTTTATTAAATCAAAGATATAATGAGAATAAACTTGTACAACTTGCTGCAACATAGGCCAATTTCATATTTTCACCTTGCAAACATTTGTCTAGTATGAAGTTCACATTAATTGCATTTTATTGCATAGCTTATCACTTACAACCTGTCAAAGTACTGAACCAGTACCCTTCATATTTCTTTTATGCTTTTATGGGAATTTGTTGTCCATAAAGATGTGATTTAGGCATCAAATATAATAATCTTTTTGGCTATTCATGATATTGATTAAAAAATATTGGTTTTGCACGTGCTTCTAAAATATTTCATGTAGCCATTTGAAGGAGGGTCGTCTCATTATGCAAACGAGTAGCTTAAAAAATCACAACGCCTCTAATGACTGAATCTTCCAAACCAAACAAGAAGTCTATATTAATGGGAAATGATTCTTACTCATTTGAAGAGAGAGAGAGAGAGAATGTATAAAAAAATATATTTCTCATATTTTATTACTAAAATGTGGTATAAAAATGACTGAACAAAAGTGGTGTACAAAAAACATGGTGTTATATTTTGAGTCCAGGGATAACAATATCACCAAAATGAGCATAATTAATTATCACCAAAATGAGCATAATTAATTATCATCTTTTGTGCAGACATACAGGAATGGTTACAGACCCTCCTACATGAATAGCTTGTCTTTTATTAGCATGATATGGTAGCATTGTTTAGTTTTTCTCTGAGCCCCTGGCCCAGCTCCTTTGTTCCAAAAGAAGAAGAAAAAAATCTTTGATTAGCACAAAATATATTTGTCATTTATTCTTCTGAGTAAAGTTGTGCTGTGTAATAAAATGATGGATTTGCTTTAAGTATCGAAATAAACTACCTTATAAACTCACCAGGTTTGTATCTTTCGCTTCAGTGATTTTTACTTCAATTTTTTCAATCCAACCACCTTATTATATATAACCAATGTTAGACCATCCATCTACATGTGTATACTCATCAATTCAAAAGGAGCCCACAAAGGCTGAATGGCCCAGTTTGGAGTTGAAGATATTTGGTATTTTTATTTCATTTGAATTTGATGATAAATTTAGTTACTCAATCAAACCTCGCTCCAATAGTACATAGTTTATCAGTGTGCACTTCAAATTAAAAAATTTAACAACACCATATTTTTTAAAAAAGAAATCCCTTCTACTTTATCCACATCCACACTATGTATAGACCAAACAGACCTCGAATCTTACAAAGTAATATACATGTAATATGTACCATCGGGGGGGGGGGGGGGGGGGGGGGGGGGGGGGGGGGGATGTTGATTAATAGACATATGTTTCTATTCAATTATTTACGAACACGGAAATATCGCTTCTCCTTAACACCAAAAAATAGATTGGTTCACATATTCCTCTTTTACTACAAAACATGTACATAATTGAATTTAATATATATATATATATATATATATATATATATATATATATATATATATTGGGTTTGGGAGGGGGGCAACGGGGAGTAGACTAAGTTACTTCGAGAGCAAGATATGTACACAACTTCCAAAGTCCGATAGGATGTGTACATTATAATTTGCAAAACAACTTCTTAGTTTTTTTCATTTTCATTGAAATCATGACGTGCAACCCAAAATCATTTTTAAAATCGACCCTATGACTTTGCCAAACATGGTTTTTTATGGATGAAACTCAAAACTCTTGCACTAGTTAGGAACTAGGAAGGATGTTTGTTCACTGAAGAGGGGTTCAACAATATATACCTTTTGCTTTTGCGAAACTTCTCCATCTCATTTGCAAGTAAATGAGCTACGTTAGGCATGCAAAGCAAAATAATACCCACTTCAGTACATATTCTCGAGAAGTCATGCACTAGAATTCTCATACGAGAGCTTAATTTGCAGTGTCTCTGATCAGCGGCTTGTATACAAATTCAGATCTTGACAATAATGATGGAACTATAGCAATAAATCAATGCTTAAAGTCAATTATAAACCAAGTATTTACAGAGTTATTTAACTTTTGCATAGGCAAACCCACCCAATCCTAAGTGTTCATGCTAATGGCTTATAAATAAAGGAAAAAATAACAAACCTGTTGCGAATGGAACGAAGGAGCCCAAAATCCTTTGCAAATGGTACATTCACCAATGGGCCAAATGACAAACCACAATAAGTGGACCGACACCACATCTCAACCCAAAACCTTAAGGCTATAGGTTTATGGATCTTTTGCACTTACATAGTCATCACTTGGTCTATGTGATACTTCTTTACAACTCATACTTGATTATTTCCAACATCTTCCCTCAAGTGTGAGGCCCAATATCATTCTTACCCTAAGGGCAACTTCTGCAGAAGTCTTTTTTTTTTCTCTCTTTCAAATATTAGGGTCACACTAGCCTTCAGCAGAGGCCTTCCAAACACTTGACCCAGATCGTTGGCTCTGATACCACTGTTGGGAATGGAACGAGGGAGCCCAAAACCCTTTGCAAAGGATACATCTACCAATGGGCTAAATGACAAACCACAATAAGTGGGCCGACACCACATCTGAACCCAAAACCTTAAGGCTATAGGTTTATGGGTCTTTTGCACTTACATAGTCATCACTTGGTCTATGTCTAGTCTATGTGGTACTTCTTTACAACTCATACTTGATTATTTCCAACAAAACCACGGAGTGAGACATGAAGATGACCTTAAGTCCTGAAGTAAAGTTATCCCCATCACAGTTAAAGGACAATTTGGTATGCAATTCAACGAGTCGTGACAGCTTAAGTTCATTGCCCCAGTTGGTAATTAGCATAATATTTGAGCATGTTTGCAAAAAGGGATTAACGTGAGATAAAGTTATCTCCCATAATGACCACATTTTAGGGTTTGGGAAATAGAAATAAATGGTATTTTAGTAAAATTCATGATAAAAGGAGAGAGTAAAAATTATAAAACACCCTGTATTTGTTTTCCCCCTCAACGTAGTTTTGAAATTGTTGAAGATAATTTTATCTTTTTGTTGCTGTTGCTGGAGAAACACTTTTCCCTTTTAAAAAGGCTAGTAATGTGATGGTGTTTCTCAGTACTTACCAAAATGCATCTTTTGAGTTCAAATGCAAGTGTACACAAGGAAGAATGCTAATGAGTATACATCGCCACCATGTTAAGTTTTGGAGACAACCTTGATCTAGCAGATACCACTTCGTTTAAAGCTTCCTATTGATGTACGTTTTCAACAACTGAAAGCTCTCTGGTATAATTGTCACAGGGAGAAAAAATATTTTACCCTAACGGGTGAAAATGAAAGAGAGGAACTGAGGGAGAACATATCTCGAGATCCACAGTGCCACTTTTGATACTAGGGTAGAAAACAATCACGAAGCAAATACAATCAAGTTGAGGATACTAATGCTACACCTCCCAAAACTAAAATACTCTTCATGTCTAAAATTCTGAAATGTTTTGAAAGACAAGAACCTGAAACACTATATATATGTTTCTCATTTGATATTATTAGCACATTTCAAACAAATGAATAAAATGAAGTCATGATATTGACTTGGATGCCTTAAATGGGGACATTTCTGAAAAGTCACACACTACTATCCAAGTTGTTCTTAAGGCCATCATAAGTTCAGCATGGACATAAGGAGGAAGTCTTTACGTTAATTGTTAAATATCTCTGCAACTAATCAAATATGACTAGCATGACACACATCACTGCTTTGCAGCTGTATTCAATAAGTTTTATTGGTTTTGCTATTCTTCATATCTCATACAAAAAAGGAGTTGGGAGACCAAACTAGCTTCACTACAAGGGAACAAGATAATATCTTAGGGAACAGGTGGGCAACCCTGTCGCAATGATTCAGAAAAATACATCCATTGGTAGCACAACTTGCGTCAAGAGAAAGCACCACATTCATGACTCATTTCACTACTACAACCATGAGCACATAATCTCATTGAAAAAGCTTATAGATAGATTCTGCTTCTATGGATTTCACAATTTCAAATTCCAATGTTCTGTTACAACATATATGAATAACATGGCTCTTCCACCTAGGCAGAAAATTGATAGATGCAAATTGTAAAGTATAGTCAAAATTTACAAAAGCTACAAACAGGAATGGACCACCACAAAGGAGTTGTAAATAAAAGGTATGCTGTTATTTCATTTCCAAAAGTAAGAGAATGCAAACTACAAAGATGGCTTCAGTCCTCACCACTAAAGCATGGATCAAAGTTTCCAAAAGATAAACATCACTCAAGGCATGCCTATAAGTCAGTGTGGGAAAAAAAAAAAAGTGAAGTAGGTCTATGTACACTGATCAAACTCCAACTGGTAGGCCATAATGGTGTCAAAACGAGAAAAGTGAAAGGACTAGGACCAAAATGGTAAAACAAAAAGAAAAAAGAAAGGAGAGAAAGTGAACTCCAATGGTAAGAACACAACTTTTCCCTCCTAAATCCCTATACAATTATCTATCATTGGTAAACTGCCACCACCAGTATATTACTGTAACTATCCATGAAAATGGCTTATCTGATAGAAGAAACTCACCGGCCTTTTTTCCTAGACTTGAAAGGGAAGCGAGAAGGGGTTGAAGGTGAGTACTCAACAGGCAATTGGGGTGGTTCCAATTCTCCACTAAGCATTCCCACAACCTCCATCAATGAAGGACGACGAGCAGGTGACTTAAGCAAACAAAGCAAAGCCACCTTGATGCAGAGAAGAGCCTGCTCTTTATCCAATGACTGAATAGACTGATCAACAAGCTCAATGAGCTTCCCATTTCTAGCACAATGGCGTGTCCATGACAAAAGATTTGCTCGCTGAAACTCTGACATTGGTGAACCATTCACCTGAAGTGGTCGCCTCCCAGAAATGATAACAAGCAACAAGACCCCAAAGCTATATACATCACACTTCTCTGAGACATCTTCACCACAGCCATATTCAGGAGCAACATAACATACAGTTCCTCTCATACTAGGAGTACTACTCACACCACCACTCTTTGGAATTTCACCACTAGCAGAATCAAAGCTATTCCTCCGAGCTCTCCATAACTGACCACTGAGACCATCTAACCACCAATCCATATTACCACGGTTGTTCCTGCTTCTGCTCTTGGTCATAATTTTATCCCCATATAATGCATCATCACTAACCCACCAATCATCACCATTGTCATCATTGTTTACACTCTTCTTATTCTTCTTCTTCTTTTTCTTCTTCTTTGCAATCTCTTCACTGTTCTCCTTCCACCATTCCCTCGCAGGCCTTCTCTTCTCCTTCTTCACAACCCCACCAACCTTTAACTCATCCATTGACTCCCACCATTCCAATTGGTGCTTCTTGCTCTTCTTCTTCTCTGTCTCCATAATCTTTGCTCCAACCCATTCACTCTTTGGACTTTCCTTATTCACTTCCCTTCCAATCCACTCCATCACATATTCCTTCACCTTCTTACTTTCACTAACTGTTGGTGTTGAAGCTGAAGCAGAGGCAGCAACCTCATCATTGTCTTGCATCCACCATAATTCCCTCACTGAATTACTCCTTAGCCCTTTACCACTCTTCTTAACACCCCCAACAACATCCTTCTCACTTTGCACACTAAACTTATCAAAACCCGGTGATGAAGCCACCGTCGCCAAAGCCGTCTCCGGCGAAGCCACTGCCGCCACAATAGATTCTGGTGACTTTTCCAATTGTGGAGGAGATTGCTCCACACCCAAGCTACCCGAATCAAAGAAAACAGTATGCACACTCTCAATTGAGCCACAATCATCAAACACAACCCCACCAACATCACACTCCAATTCTTCCTCCTTCTTCTTCTTCTTCTTCTTCTCCTCATCATCATCATCAGCAATACTATCATCATCCAAAACCTCAATTTCAAACTGGAGCGGCTCCGATTTCAACCGGGCAAGCCCAAAATCCCCGATTTTAGCAGAGAAATTTCGATCCAACAAAATGTTACTGGGTTTTATGTCTCCATGAATAATGGGAGGGTCGCAAGAGTGAAGGTACTGAACTCCTCTTGCAATGTCCAACACAATAGCGAAGCGCTTCTTCCAATCCAAAAGCTCGGGGCTTTTTCGGTGCAAGAGCGCGTCTTGGAGGTTCCCGTTGTGCATGAGCTCGTAGACGAGGAGGAATCGCCGGCGTTTTGGGTCGGAGGAGAACCCGACGGCGGCGACGACGTGGAGGGAGCGGAGCCTCGACGCGAAGAAAAGCTCGTTGTGGAACTCGCGCTCGCCTTGGTGGGAGGTTGAGTCCATGAGCTTGACGGCGATGGGTTTGCGTGCCGGCGGCGGGAGAGTGCCGGCGAAGACGGTGCCGAAGCCGCCGTGGCCAAGGCGGGAGGAGAAGGAGTTAGTGGCGCGGCGGAGGAGGGCGTAGGAGAAGCGGTGGGGTGGCTTGGAGTCGGTGTCGGAGGAGGAGAATGGGGTGGTGCGTTTTCGAGTGAGGGTGCGGTGGCAGATGAAGGCGAGGAGGAGGAGGGAGAAGGCGGAAGCGGTGGCGGCGATGAGAGGGGTCAGGAGGTGGTGGTGGCGGTGGTGATGGGTGTGAGGAGGTTGTGTTTGTGGTGTTGGTGGTGGTGGTGGTGGGTATGTGTTGGATAAGAACGCCGTGGACGGCGGAGATTGGAGGAGTTGCCGGGATGGCATGGTGGCGATGAGATGATGGGAGGGTTAAATTTGGGATCAAGTTTCAGTTAATGGGTTGGTCATGGTTTTGAAATTTGGAACATGAGATTTTGAGGATTGTCTTATGTTGTTTTTGAGAGTTTTCGGAATAGGCAGAAGTTGGAGAGGTTGAGGAAACACAGAAATGAGCAACTCAGTAGAGGGAACTTTGTCTCTCTCTCTCTCTATTTAACTCACTTTCTCTCTCTAAATGGGCATGTGTCATGTCATGTGTGTGCAATCGTGAACTGACTGTTTCTTGTTGGACTTTTTTTGCTGAGCGTTGTTCGTTTGGATTGGCATTAGGACAAGACCTAAAACAGTACTTTTTGTTTTTATTGTTTTATTTATTTCTTTAAAAAAAATATTTTACACTTTTTTTAATTGGGAAATCTGAGATAAGAAATTTGAATTTTCTCACTCCTAATGAATTTATCGTAGTCGACTATGAAGGCTTGATATTGTTATGGATTTCTAATTTATTTATTTTTAATATTTTTAGTAGATTGAACTTGAATATATGAATAATTGCTTGGTTTAAAGTTTTTTTTTTTGGTAAGCTTAAAGTTTTTTAATTTATTTATATTTTACTCATAAATTGAGTATGATAACAAATGCATGCAGTAAAGAAAATATAATAAATATTGCTAGAGATAATTCATATTAAAAGATAAAAGTAGATTATGTATCTTCATTTTCTTCTTTTATTTCTTTTTACTTGCTTTTTCGATTGTGTGTGATTGTCGCAGTCGCAATATTATTGATGTCTAAAATTATTGGATATGGATCCTCTTACATGGAGAAAAAAAAATGATATAGTTATATAGGAAGATCACAATTATAGAAAGGTAAATCAACTGTTATGATTTTACAACTATCTATTGTAATATTTTTTCTTTTTCTTTTTTTTATTACCATTAATAAATCTTTATATGATTATGATTCTTCACATGAACATATTATGTTTTTTTTTTCACATCACATTATCCAGATTCAAAATTATTTATAAACCATGTTGAGACAATCATCATAATATGAATTCAATAATATTGGAATCAGATTAAATTGTATGGATAAAAATATATTTATAAATACCAGAAATAGTGTTTCCTAAGACTAAGAGATCCTTTACAACTGTATCTAACACTTGTGGGGTACTCTTTCTATTGTTTATTTATTTATTTTCCTCTTTACTCTGTTTCTTGTTTTCTAGTTTGCTTATGTTTATGTGCACAGCTACAATTGCAGCACAGGCTGGGATTTGATGTAACTCAATTGATTCTGTCTACATGTATCTGTAAATGGAGCCCTTTTCCAGTTGTTATGATTCATACTTTCCATGTGAACATTATGACAAAAAAATCACTGCCTAAGTTTCATAAAACCTGCTTTTATATATTCATAAGGTTTCATTGCCTCTTTTCTTTTATTGCAAGTCAAAGCAGAAGACTAATTATTACCACTTTTCTCTACACATACATACTTTGTAATGAAATAAACTATCAATATTATTGCGTTTATAGAATTTTTTATAATGGATTCTATGTCCAGAAGTTTTAGTTACTAGATTAATTGGTAATATTATTAGTTCGTCCTTTAAAAGTTAAAAATATGTTTGCCAAAGGTAAGGTCAATTGGAAACCTACTATTTTAGTGATGGCGTGCTAATAATAATAAAGAAATGAAGGGTTTACATAAATAATGAAATATTAAACATCAGCAGAAAAGGAGAGTTTGAGAGCATGTCATGGAAAGTTGAGTAGGGAAATAAGGAAATGAAGGGTATATATAAAGGGAAATATTTTTCTCATTTCGTTGGAGATAGCTATCTCATGCTATACACCCATCGAATTTTGTGCCAGCTTTTTCCATTTCTTTTTCCTTTATTTTAAAGTGTGGACCCCACATATTTATCTCTCACACATGAGAGAACTATCTCAAGCAACATGAGATTAATAACTCCCATATATAAATTATGAAATATTAAACATCAGCATAAAAGGAGAGTATGAGAGCATGCCATGGAAAGTGGAGTAGGTAATTTTCCTTTGTATGCTCCTTCAAACTTCAAACAAACCTTCGTGCTTTTCTTCATCAACCATGACTCATTAGTCATGAGGTCATGACCCACACTTGTGCTAGCAATGGTAGAAGACCAAAAACGCGTTAACTGTTTTCCTTTGGTAGATTTGACTTTGTAATCTACTAATTGCCAATTTGTTTCATGGTGACATTGAAGGGCACGCTTTATTTGCCTTTCTTAATTTTGGTCAATTTAGGGGGGGCACGCCCTAATTTAAAAAAGAGAAAAAATTGATAATCAAACACAACGTACGTTTTAGGGGGGAGGGGGGATAACTCCAAAAAAAAAAAAAAAAAAAAATTCACGGTTAGTGTATGCAAAAAGTTCGATCAATTATATTAATCCTCATTGGGTATATTTAGTTATTTTTATATGATATCGAAGAGGGTTTGAAGAATAGTAGTCGTCATTTACGTTTTTAAGCAATGTTATTGTAATTCCTTCAAATTCTCTTTCATTGGCTTTTTCTTAATTCAAAAGTTTTGTTTGAAAAGAATTTTTTTTTTTTTAAAAAAAGTAAATTTGGAGCAATATATACTACAAATAAAACAAATTTAAATACAATAACTCTGTATTAGTCTTAAGATTGAATTTATTACCTAGCTATCTTACTAATTCTATTTTAAAATATATTTTTTAATTTTTATGGCCCATAAATTTCTCGTGTGTGTATGTATATATAGGAAAACCATAATCTTAAGTTGTTGAAAAAAATTATCTTATGTCATCCGTTATGATTATATATTTCGAAAAATATATAATTATAATATAAAAATTTATTTTATTTTTTCTCTTCTGAAGTTGTCGATGACATGGCGAGAAAAAAATTAATATTCTAATGGATTTGTTTTATCTGCAGTTACTGCAAATAAGTTATCGCAGTAAGCTCAATACAATGTCATTTTGGAGCGAAAACCATGATGTTTTTATAATTTTAATTTATTTTAGGGTTATTATAGTCTTTATAATTATAGTTTTTTAATATTTCAATCCCAAAACAACGTCGTTTTGGGAATAAATGCAAATAACTTATCTACATTAACTGTAAAAATATTTTTCTGTATTATAATTATGTACTTCTCGGAATATATAGTTATAATGAGTGACATAAGATAACTTTTTTTTTCAGCAACATGAAAAAAAAGGAATATATATATATATGATTTGATTTTTCTGCAGTTACTGCAAATAAGTTATCTGCAGTAAGCCTAATACGACGTCATTTTGAGGCAAAAATTATGGTGCTTTTGTAATTTTAATTTATCTCATGTTATAATAGTCTTTTTATAATTTAATTTTTTAAGATTTCAATACAAAAATGACGTTGTTTTGAGAATTAATGCAGATAACTTATCTGAATTAACTGCAGAAATATTTTTTCCATATATATATATATATATAAGGGGTAGGATATTCTTATACAGGTGTAAGAGTTAGAAGTCTTACACTCAATTTTGACTATTGATCCACTTGTATCCAATGGCTCACATTACTAAAAAATTTGAGCCCATAGATATAAATGGAATCAACAGACGAGATTGAGAGTGTAACTTACACTGATATAAAATGATCCTAAACTTATATATATATATATATATATATATATATATATATATATATATATATGAAAAATATTTTTACAATTACTATAAATAACATTATCTACAGCTACGAGACGTTTTGAAGTGCTCCTGGACCATTTTTTATTGGGTGGGACAGACCAATAAAATAAGGAGAGAGAAGAGAATAAATATTTTTTTAATCCACATGTAATCCTCTTAATGGGAGGAGCACAAAGTCCTGATGCACCCAAAAATACTTCCCTTTTTAACTAAATCTGACCGGTAAGACATAGTTATAACAATAAAGCTGTTCTTTTTTATCTCTTCTCAGACATTATCAGATGACGTGGCGAAGAGAGAAAATGCAATTTTTATGTCTTACTGGTCAAACTTAGTTAAAAAGAGACAGCTGTAGACAACTTTATCTAAAGTGACTGTAAAAATGTTTAACCTTTTATATATATATATAGAGAGAGAGGTTTGCATTTGTCATTTAACATGACACAACAAACTTTCCTACACACAACATTTTGTGGAGCCCACACTTTTTGAAGAAAAAAGAAAAAAAGAAATTACGGCACACAAAACGAATCTCTATAACATTACACAATTACTTTTCCTATAACATAACTCTTATAAAACTCATATATATATATATATGTGTGTGTGTGAGGATAAATGTTTCTCTATCAAATTATCTCCTACAGCCGCATAATGATATTGTCTCGGGGTTTAGAATTAAAAATAAAGAGTATTTTGAAAATTCTATATTCCTCCTTGAATCATGAATTTTTTTAAAATATCCTTTATTTTTAATTTTTTTTGTTGGTAAAACAAAGTTCTTAATCCAAAATGATGTTATTTTGGGATTGTAATCTTTATCTGCTGTGATGAGAGAAATGTTAATATGATATATGAGGAGCTTTTTTTAACTTGGAAGATTGTTTAATAAATCAAACTCAAAAATGGAGATTCGTCTGCTTTCCGTCAGAAAAAGAATTTGGAAATTCATATTCTCGAAAAGGAGAATGTTTTGGACTTTAGTCAAGAATAGCAGCTTCGATCTAATTTCTATTTTTAATTGTCGTTTACTATTTTGTTTTTTAAATCAAGTTTTATACTTACATAAAAAATATCCCCCCCTTATATATCACGTGTGAGTGTATTTTTTAGGAAGTCACGTGCTAGGCTAGTTCTTTATTATACTGTTAAGAATTGAAAATATTGAAGAGTGGCCATCCACGACTATTTTTGGCTCGTATGAGAGAGTTTGTAGCTTTAGAAGAAAGCTTTCTTCGGAGACAGGTCAGTGTTGTTTTCTAAAATAACTGAAAAAATTCATGAATGAATTTCGTTAATAAATTGTAAACAAAATTACATATAAGTTCTACTTTAAAAGAAGAGTAAACTGATTTTTAATGTTTATATTATTGCAACATGCTATTGTGTTCTCACATACACTTAAAACAAACACACACACACATTTGTTCAGGTTTGACTAGTAAATTATGATTGAGAATGTTTATTTATTATGGTTAAGGTTGTGCATGACAATCATTTTATTCT